AATGGTTCACTAAAAGTTGTTCTGTATATTTATGTCCTCTCTTTGTTGTGGACTTTTATGCTCAATTTGTTGCCTCCAATTTCGCTTATACTTTTACATTGCCCATTGCAATGAAAATATAACAATGTAAAAACTCCAATTAAAACCGAATTTGCTTTATTAGTCCAGAAGATTTCTCGGAATTTAAGGTATATTCAGCTGGGTTCAATTATGCTAATACCTAAAGTATACTACTACTACTTTCAATATCTATTAAACTTAAAGGTGTCTAGCCTGGAACTACGTTAAATTTAGTGTTAAGCAAAGTTCCAATACGAAACCTACTATAGACCACAGAATATACTTATTTATTTCATAAAAGGGTCAATTTATTTTTACAAATGCTTAAGCCAGTTTTTTTTTTAAATACTTTCGAGCTGATAAAAGGACACACTCTTTAGTTGAAATATAATATCGTTCAGTAGCTCAGGGCTCCAATGTTGCACTCACCCAACAGTTGAGCTTGTCACTTTTTGAAATACATATTCCACTCGATTGCCAAATCTATGCTTACTGCACTGAGCACCATTAGAAGTGTGTCCGTAATGAAGCTGACAAGGCGACGACATATAAAGACGTTCCCACCCAGAGAAAAACTTTTGCTTCGAACGCCAACGAAAAACATTAAACATGCGCTGGGCATGAGCACTTTGCTTGAGGATGGCTAATTGAAATGCAGCCAGTTGTCTGCCAATGGGCGGGACTCGTTAAGAAGGGAACCGAATATTCTGTGTAGCAGCTACTAATCAATTTAAAAGTTTGCACTGGGGCAAAAGTTTGTAGCATACTCTTGTCTACTTTCAAGTTTACTGAACTTAATCTCGAGCGCTAGTTTAACGTTATGTACAAGGCTAATGGGAAAACAGTCATAGCTAAGGAAATTTGGGTTGGGTTGTTCGGTATCCAGCGTAACCAGCGGATGAGACACAGTTAAAATGTGAAAGAACGTTGGAAAACAGCAAAACAAAACTCAGAGCAGACAACAAGCGGCGACAACACAACACAACAGACCACAACAGTAGAGCAGCCGTAGAACAACGGAGCAGTTGTTCTGCATTTCCGTTTCCGCTTTTGGCTGCCGACATGGCGCTTATGTCGCGACATTAAAGTAGGCAAGCATGAAAATTGCATTGCCCTTGCTGGTGTTTCTATTGCTGATAATGAATCTATGTAATAGAATACTTTGTGGCATACTGAGGAGCAGCCACTACTAAACACGTTCATAAATTTTCAAATAAAAAAGTTTCGCGTTTGAAATATTCTGCAAAAGCAATTAGTTTGCCGCCCAGGGCCGCTGAGCATCGTATTGCAATTAACGTTACAAAAACGAGCACCAGAAAAACAATACACACCCAAATGGCCAGCGTTGGCAACTGTAGATGGCTCCTAGCCCATCAACCCGCCATCCAACTCAACCCAACTGTTAACTGAGCGAGATGAATTATGAGCCGGGGCCGGGCATTGGACGCTTTCGCCTGAAACATCTGCGGCCTTCAGGACACGAGCTGAATTCGCAGCTGCCTTGTTGATGTTTTGGCTCGTTTTGCAGTCGCATTATTGTTCAAAATCAATGCGGCTTAATTTTGTAAACCAAGCAGTGTATTTAGCGCTGGGACGCCCCTTTGTGAAATCCAGTGAAACAATGATAAAACGAACAAAACATAAACAAAACAACATAGTGGACATTAATAATATTTATGCCCAATTGCATTTGCCATTGAAATCCATAGACAATAACTCCTAATCAATGCAGTAAAAAATACAAAAATATATATATATATATATATTCTTAATATATGTATATGTATCTTAATATATGTTTATATATACATATACATTCATTATAGGGTCAGAGCTGCTTCTTATATCTATTACATACATTTTTGTGTGCTCGTTAACTAAAAACGTTTGGAGGTTTTTTACCCAACTTATTCGATCTCGGTTAAGTAAAAAAAAACGTTTATTTCAGAACCAAACCAATTCGGTTTTCCCAATAATATAATTAATATTCTTTCGGTAGTTGCATTAAAACTTAAGTGTTTCGATACAAATGATACAAACGAAAAAAAGAGCTAATTGAAGGAAAGCCCATGGGCCATGTGAAAATCTCGCTTTCATTAGAGCCTAAAGCGAGTTTATTGCATTTGCGTGTGCCGTGCTGTGTATGTTTGTGTGTGAGTGTGTCTGTGTTTGCAAAAGTGAAGTCAATCGAATTACATTTACATGGATTCATGTGAAAGTATCCGCATTTTCCGCTCAGTGCTAGTCTCTTTGGGAATGTTAATTAAAAAACGCATGTTTAATAGATTCTAAAGTGCAATTTGCACAGTTTGAAGCCAATGCTGGACTGCTGCGGCAAAATTGTTCTTTTTGCGATTTCTCTGTACGACTGTGAGAACCGCTCACTAAATGAAACAGTATATATGTTTGTAAAAGCTATGGACCCACAAACGAGCTATAAGTGCTATCAAAGTGCAGCTTCGTCACTTCGTGGATCATCGAAGCCAGTTTCAAATCAGAGGGCTCCTAGGAGTCCCCCAACTGTGTGTGGAATGGAAGAGCACAGAAGAGTTTAATTAGCCGCAAGTGTAGTTGAAGTTGAACTTGGGCAGCCAACGGCACACTCCGCAGGATAACATCTTCTGAATTTTAAGTGGGCGCCAACTTAATCTGGCTACTACAACAAAAAGCAAGCGTTAAATGCCACGCAGACCCCGACCTGGCTGTGCCCGCTGGTCATAAGCTTTTTATTTTCATTTATTTATGGGATAAACTTTTGATTTGTTATAGCCGAAGAGGTTGCGGGCATATCCTACTGAGCTCCACACCCCCGTAGTTACGCAAGCTGAAAATTTTATTACGCAAATAATATCTGGCAAGAGAAACAGTTCACGCCAAGCAGCTGCCTCCTGCTCACACACCAATAACTGAATATTAAATGCGATGTTCGTTTGTGGCCAACGACGGCTTCCTTTATTTCAACTAGGGAGCATATATCTCGCTTCAACTTCTTAACAATCGTAACGCTTCAGTTAACAGACTTATAAATTAAACAAGAACCACGTAGTCGCGTGTGCTCGACTACAAAACACCCTGTACTCCACAGTCAATATAATATTTTATATTTGAATTCTTAAAAAAAAATACAACCCAATAAGGCTGCGCAGCTTTTTCTGTCTGCGCCACAGTATTGGAAAGTTAAAGTTGAATAACTTGTCCGATCACCATGAAATTTAAGGGGCATAAATATGACTTTGACACACAAGACCTTATTAACCCACTTGCAATGGGTATTAACACAATATGCAAAATAAATATTCTGAGCATGGCCACAATGACTATATACCCTTGCGCATATTAATTTTCCGATCTTATCCAAAATCTGACATGCGAAAAACTAGCTTATGGAACAACTCCATTTTCCAGACTTGCTCTACTATTCCTTTGCCCGTTGATTGTTATTGTAATCGGGTCCACATACTATCCATGCATAAGCTTAGCTTCTAGGCTGAACTACTTTTAAGAACCAAATATAGATGTCAATTGTCAATCTATAAGCTTCTCCTGAATGACTGACTGACTGAATGGCGATAAGCGCAAAGAATATACAATAAAAGCTACACAGCTCAAATGTTTACTCTTGCGTTGAAAGTTAACACCAAGACGAGGTAAGATCCTGTGATATAATGGATATAGTAATGGATTGTTAATTAATAGATGACTTGGGGAACGGGAGCATGGTGAATTCCAACAATATAAAAATTGACCCCGTGGATGATGGGTACTTTCATCTATATATGTATGTTACATATAAAACAACAAGTGGGCGGGACGCTCGCAAAGCAAGTTGCGTCGAAAAATACAAGTGTTATATAAATCTGGTGGAAAAGCTGATCCGCGGCATAATCATAATTTTATTTACTTGTTCACATTTGTAAAGGCGTCTTCAAGACCCAAAAAACTCCAAGTATTTATTCTGTTAAACGTTAAATTCTCGTAGCAAAATTGTAATACCCCCAAAAACAATAAAAACAAGTAAGACGTTCTAGTCGGGAGCTCCCGACTAGGGGATACCCTGAACCCTCTTCTTCCAACATCAAATGCATATATATATTCTATTTTAGAAGCTATATGTCAAGTTTGGTGACTCTAGCTCTTATTATTTACCAAAATTGCCCAAAAAACAGGATATCGATATCGATTTTTATCGATTGCTTGGAAACGGAGTAAGTTATCGATTATAGGAAACAAACTCGATCTGCGCGGAAACTAGGAGCACCTACATCTAATACATACGGACGGACGGACGGACGGACAGACAGACAGACGGACATGGCTAGATCGACTCGGCTAATTATGCTGATCAAGAATATATATACTTTATGGGGTCGGAGAAGCTTCCCTTTGCCTGTTACATACATTTGGCTTTTGCACAAATACAATATACCCTTATACCCATTTTTAATAGGTTCAGGGTATAAAAAGTAACAAAAAAGGGAAGGAAATATTACATGTGAAGCATTAAAAAGTTGATTTTTTTTGTCAAAGTGACCAACATTAAATTGTATGAAATTCACTTATGTATTTTACACTTTGTATATGGGTAAAGTATCAAGCACGGCCAAGTAGACCTGTTCCCAGAGGTTATCAGTGCTCTGTTATCAAAGAAAACAAAAATGATGAATGCGTAGGAATACCTGCAGCTATGTATGGCAGAATTTTAATATTTTCCATATTAAGTAACATGGCTAGTGATAATGCTTATCGGAGGAATTAGCAGACTTTAGCCTAGCATATTAAATGTGTTATTTAATACCAGTGTGTAGGTAGGTGCAAATATCCAGAAATACACGACAGGCCGTAACACGAGATACGCGCCGTATTCAAACAGTCCGGCCTAGAGATGGAACGTAAACATCGTAAATCAGCAATCAGATTACATGTATTTTTGTGCTGTGAGACAGGGTAACATAATGCTTCATTATTGTGCTTTATTCAGAATTAACTTTTTGCTTAAGGCGTTATATCAATTACATATATATTTTATAAAAAAAAACTTCCACAACAGACACTCATAATTTTGTAATATTGTCACCGGAGTTTCCGACATTTAAATGCCCCACTTTGGATATTATCGTAAATACAAATATGTATAAAATTATTAACTCTCGTATTGTCCATGATTTGGTTCATCGTTCGGGGAGTTGTTTGGAATATGCAGTTTAAACTTTGAACCTATTGGCTAACAGTGTATAGAATTGCGGCTAATCTTTAACAACAACAAGGCCACACAGCTTGCTATAGTTGCATGACTCCCCTCATATTCCAGAACCGCGCTTTTCCACGCCCAGCACGTACTTGTTGAAGGCATCGTTGAGCTGTTCCATCAGGATGAAGGTCAACACCGTGTGCGGGCCCAAGCGGAAGTAGTATGGCGTAAAGCCCTTCCAAAGCGAGAAAATGCCCTCGTGACGTGCAACCCGGAGTAGCACATCCATTGTGCCCTTATACTCTGGTTTTCCGTCTACCAATTTCATGTTTTGGATGCGCGTCTTGGCAATGTCCAGCGGCATCGATGTTATCGTAGTTAGCAGTCCGCTCAGCATGCTGGCGAAAAAGTGTAGTTTGATGCCTTCGTCCATTTGTAGCGGCCCAGTACGGAAATAGCTTTTGAATTGGGAATAGCTGGCCAATTGGGTCATGTTCACCACCATGGCTCGACCAACGGTGGGCAAACAGCCGCGCCACAATGCTGTTAGGCCCTCCTCGCGCGTTATACGCGCCAGAGCATTGCCCACATTTTTGTAGTTGCGTCGCTCTTCCAGAGGCAGGCGTCCATCTGAAGTCATGCGAATTAGCGCCACCTCTGCTGGCGTGCCGATGAACGCACCACAGGCACCGGCTATAGTGCCCATGGCCATGCTGGCCAGCACATTGGGATCGCGATTGGTGCGACTTCGATATTCCTCGTTGAGGTAAGTGTAGACACCCAGTCGTCCGGTGGTGTAGGTCGCTTGCCTCAGCAGAGCTGCTGAAAGGCCCTGGTATAATGCAAGAGGTCCCTCGCGGCTGATCACGGTCTGAATGCAGTGGAAAGAGTTGCGAAATTCCTTCTTACCACTACCGGCTCCGGCAATTTGCATTCTATTCTTGACAAGATCCAGTGGCTGGACGCACAGGGTTGCGCCCATGCCACTAGCACCTCCAATCAGATATTTCATACCCTTGGGCGGTGTCTTTTTCTTGCTGGGCTCTTTTTCTGACATATTGAATGCGAATTTTCCGTTCACTTGCCGATTACACAACACAAAATGACTTGATTAAATGCACTGCGTCGCCAGTTTCTGTGGGCTCAGTTGCTTCCAGCTTTCAGATTCCAGTTGAGCTTTTCGAAGCCGTTCCGCCAACGCTGTTTTGATTTTAGGTCCCTTTCTTGACGATATTAGTGTAAGGAATGTTAAAAAACCTAAAAATTGTTCTGCCCACGCCTGTCTTACACAAAATAATATTAAATTTTTTGCTTGCGGCCAGAGCGAGCAGCTGATACTGGCGGCGGGTGGCTACATACGGACACTTCCTCGTTTTATTTTTGCTTTTACTCGCTGCCAGCAGCTGCTTTCTCTCTGCCTCTTTGAATGTGAATCAATGTCACGGACGTGCGTGTTTCGTCAGTGTATTCCTATTTTTAGACGCCACTTTTTGGTTATTTCACGTGTTGCACTATTGCCTGCCCCAAATTGCAATTAGTTGTGCGACGAAACATTACACAAATTATATAGTCGCAATTGCAATTGTAAGAGAAAAAAACACTGTACAACAATAACAATTCGCACTTCTATGCAGTTGCTGCTCAGCTGATGACGTGTACAGCGACGGCGCGAGAGTAAAACAGGGTTGTCAACAACTTGTGCAGTTGACAACAGTCCATTTGTAAGATACTGTATATAAGTTATTATTGTATTCACCAAAAGCAGCAAGGGTAACTTTAAACTTGTATATTTACAGTTATTTTTTTATAGCATTTCCTAAAATTATCTCGAAAATATGTTCAATATAATATATTTCGATAGCAAATCAGGTACGTGTTGTGCGCGTCGAAACTGCTGACAACTCTTCGACAACCGCAGCTCGCATTGTGACTCTCTGTGGCTCTCCCACTGGTCAAGACGGTGTTGTTAAACACTGAACAGCTGTGCCGTTTACTCAAATCATTTGCTGTCCCAAACATTTAACAGCCTAAGAGCGCACAACTAATTAAGATATACATACATACCTTCATAATTGGTAGAACATAACGTAGCTGCTATGTAATTACCCTGTTTGTACATATGAATACATACATACATCTATTCTCTTTGTCTGTTGTCGATATTCAGGCAATCATTACCGGCTTCGTATCGGGCCGCGCAAAAAGTATTTGCCAAAATTTTATCGTAATTGCTCTAATCAACTATGTAATCTAAAAATGTAGATACTGAATCGAGTAATGATATTTTGATTCTCTACACAACTTGTTGCTAATTGAACGTGCTCAGCTGTTTTCGTTTACAGCCCAATAGCATTTTTAACGATTTTGTATGTACATACATACATGTATGTATGTAAATGTATAATTATATTTAAACATGCATATACAAGTTTTTTTATACATACATAAAAACTCAGATGAACATGTGTGATATGCATGTACATACATACATATATGTATAAACTGTTATATTAAAACAAACAAACAGTAAATACCTAAGGTTGATAGAAAACTAAGCTGATTTTACGTTTAAAGCTTTACCAATTTAAGAGTATTTCACACAGCAGACGGACGGAACTGGAGAGTTCTTTGACTTGTGGTAAAAAGTATCTTATTCCACTTCCCTACTCGTCTAAGATTTATTAATATAAATATTATATAGCTAGCTATTATTTCCCGGTCTTGCCCGTGCAAATTATTCATTATTCATTATTCTTTTCCATCCAGTTGTCACCCGTGACAAATTTAAGTCTTTCCGTACCATCCTAAACTCCATGTCTATTCCCACCTCCAATGAATTTTCTTATGGTTTTTTGCGAATGAGGTTACACACATAACTTGAGCCATTTAACCTTTGACCCGCATTTATCATCCAAGAGGAGTAGATATTGCGAAAAGTATGAGCCGCGTCTCAAATGTATTTTCACACCGATCTCTGATAATTAATAGATGGAATTATTTTTTGAGCCGATCGTATGATACACAAAAAACTTTCATATGGAGTTTCATGTGGGGTTTTAAAATTTAGTTTCAAGCAAAACGAATAAAACTTAAAACATATTGTTCGTATAATGTTCTTGACGTGCTGAGTCTAATTTATTAACATTATTCTGTTGTTTCTTTTATAATTTATTGTTTACCTCATGTGTGGGCCGTAAAAAAGTTTGCATAGGGGGGTTCCGTGAGCATTGTGTTTCGTATAAATCGGGATTAAAATCAGTTTTTCTTTATGTTAAACTGTGCCTAATTCAGTGGATCCTTGGTTCACAGCACTATCGAACAAGTCCACAAGATAGTAAACCACATCACACCGGTAGCCGCAATGCCAATAGTATGTCTCTTTTACAGGTCCGAGTCTTAGATAGCTCGGCAGGCGCCTTAATAGAAGGCCAATACAGTTCCAAATAACCTGCTTCTCCTCGAAGTCTTCTTGCCGGAGCTAGTATTTAATAGTCTATAATGTTTTCAAACTTGCATACCTTTGTGCAGGGTATTATAATTTTTCCTTGATATTTATACCGCATAGAAGAAGACATTTCCGACCTCATAATGTGTAGATATCCGCCTGTCTATCTCTCTGTTTCTATGCTAGTCTCTCAGTTTTAAAGCTGCCGTCTTGAAATTTTGCATAGCTCCGGCTTTCTGTTGCAGTATGTACTGCTTGTCGGAACCGGCCGGATCGAACCACTATATCCGATAGCTGCCATAGGAATGAAGCTACCTTCTTGTATGAAAAACTTTTTTGGTTATCAAGGTATCTTGAGCCAAACCTTATCAAGATCGCGCTTCTATACAATACAGCTCTATAGGAAGACCCTATAGAAGAATTAGTTTTTGTAATGCAACATATACCATTTTCCAAGATAAATTTACCAAGCTCAGCGTTAACGAGTTTCACTATTCTCACATATCTGTAAAACCGTTAAGCAAATCTCTACAAGGCTATTAAATGTTTGGCGTGCCAAACCGCAGAGTTAGAATCTGGGCCGGCAGCCTAGGGAATCTTCTAGTCGGGCACTCCCGACTAGAGGACTCTTAATTACATGCATGTCATGTATTTTCCATAGCAATAATTGGAGTAAAGTATACATGCTGTGGATATCTATCCAGAGCTATTATAATTGCTTGCAATCAATTAGAGGACTTACGCATTCTCGACTTTGATGAAATTATCAATATGCTCAAGTTGCATTTGTAAGTGTGTCGCGCTCGTATCGCGTGGCATTCAATCATGGGGCATCTCAGCATTTATCCAACAAGCCGTATTTCGCGCATTCGCGCTTCTTTCAATCTGAGAGACTAGACAGATTGCCTGTCGTTCGCCTGCCATTGAAGCTGAAGCGATTTCAATTGAATTTAAGCGACAACGACATTTTTGTGCCTCTGCGAGGGATTTTCGTATTTTTAAAAGAAATTGAGGACGAACAAGGACAACAGGAGATAAGAGAGCGTTCATGGTAAGCAATCAGAGAAAGCAAGAGCAGCAGCAGCACAGAAGCAGAAAACGAAAATCTGGAACTGTCAAGCAGGGCTCTATAGATAAAACTACTCGTGCCTTGCCCGTAGCTAAAGGCCGGCAGCCAGAGCCAGAGCCAGAGTCAGTGGCCCAAGAGCATGAGCGGCACTTAATATGGTCGCGAAGGCGGGAGCTCCTGCGACATACACTCAACACACAGTGTGAAGGACAATGTGAATGGAATTGAATGCCTCAGCCATCTACAAAGCAAATGGTTTACTTAAAGAAACACGGAGTTTGATCGACGTAATAGGTAGCATGTGACACTGACGTGAGAAAATTGTAAACTTTTTGTCGAGTGATGCAAGCGGCACATTTTTTATTGCGGCACATTATCATTGCTTTTCACATAGTTAAGAACTATCAACACAAATTAAATAACCCTTTCCTGTTTATATATTATTTCATTTTTTTAAGTTTAAAATTTGTCAAAATCTTTTGTTTGTTAGGATAATCTGATAAAAAAGAAATATACACAAGTATGAAGAATATAAATTTCAATATCAATCATTAAAAAACAATTAAATCTGAATGGAGCTTGTAACTATATCAAACGATTTAGTGATTTATTTCAAAGCTACCCTTACTTTTGTCATTTTGAAAATGAAAGAACATGGTGTAGTTTACCTATAAAGACTTCCGAGAGCATCGTCATAATCATAACTTGTAAAACCTGTAGCTTGCCCTAGCTCACCTAGCGGATCGACCTTTGGGCGATGGCCTGCCTCATCATTCATGCGACGTTAGCTGGCCAATCAATAAAATTTCACGGTGCTGTAATCAAAGCATGCGATATTAGCGTAAAGTTGAATGAATCCATGTGCGGCATCGTCTCTGCCAGATCAGACCAAGCCACTGACACAGGCAATGGCAGGCATCGCCAAAACGAAAACCAGTTGCAAAACAAGCCAGCCAGTCAGTCAGCCAGACAGACAGACAGACAGACAGACGGCCGTCGAGGTAGCTCGGGAGCTGTGTGGCTTTTGCGTGAAATGCTCAAATGATAAGGTCGTTCGTTGGGTTGAATCAACAGTTTTGCATCGCCCGCCGCGTCACTTGCTAATTTTACCAGAGTGCGAGCGACGCAGCTGGGCGGTGAAACGGGTAAGCCCAACTCAAATATATATATATATATATATATATATATATATATATAATATAAATAATTAATATAAATATATTAATAATAAACAAGTAAGAGGCTCTAGTTGGAAGCTTCAGACTAGGGGATACCCTGAATCCTCTTCTTCCAACACCAAATGCAGCTCGCGCTTTAGTAGTCATAAAAATAAATTTAAAAAATATATAGTTTCCTCAGTAGGGTTCGACCTTGTAACAGATCGAATTACTTATCGATTTACACACCAATAATTAAGTGTTCATGATAAAAACCCGAATTAAAATAGAAAAACAAAAAACAATACAATGCTTTTGATAGAATTCAAAGAAGACGTGTGTGTATACAGAAATTCTTACGCTTGCTGCCCCAAACTCGAGGCCAGCCAAAATATGTTTTTTTTAACCGATCTTGATAAAATTGTGGCTCATATTGGTGGGCAGTATATATTGTTTTATTGATTTGATATATATCTATGAGGTATTAGCGGGGTGAATATACATACTTTTTTAAGGGGTCGGAGACGCTTCCTTCTGCCTGTTACATACATTTGCACAAATAGACTTTACCCTATTTAACGATTTCCAATGGGTTCAGGGTATAAAAAGGAAAAAATATCTCATATGCCACCGCGAGTTTCATCTGCAACCTGGGAAAATTATTTTTGTGCAGCCCGTTTAGTGATGCGTTATGGCAAACGCCACTTCCACGCCCGAACTGAATTGGCAGGTAAGCTCTGGATTTGGCAACGACAAAGTTGCGAGTGCAAATCGACTGGAAGATATTTGTGCGTTGGCGAACGAAGTATTAAGTTTGCTTCTATGCCAACTCTCTGACCAGGCGTACCCAGCGTTTATTCTTGGCGCGAATTGCAATAATCAATGAACCTTGAGCTATAAGTTAAGGTCGAAATTCTGACGCACATGTTGCAATTCT